GTACCAAGCCTTGTTAGTAAGTGATGATGGCCACAGTACTTTTCAATGATACCCTAGGCTCTGGGATCTGATGAGAGACCTTTGGAAGGTTTTTTAAATTTGACATGTTTTTATGCTTAGATATCTACTCAGTATAAATGTCAAGAAAGAACTCCATCCATCCAAGGCTTAAGGGCCATCAGCAGTATTCCCTGTTGGTCCTTCTTCATTCTTTGTTGTAAGTCAGTCTGTCAGCATTTAGAGCACTAACAAGGGAGCCCAGTGGTCCAAGGATCCCCTGGTGTCACTCTGTGTTGTGTGTTGGGCTGTTAATCCAAGGATTAGTGATTTGAGTCCACCAGCCACTCCCCAGGAGGAAGATAGGTAGTCTTCTCGCATAAAGATTTACAGACTTGGAAACCTGATGGAAAGTTGCTCAGAATTGGAATCAGCTTGACAGCAGTGGTAATTTGTGGGGGATTTTTAAAAAAAAAAAAAAAGAAAACCCTCTATGGTAGAGACCATTTACTCTTGGAACTTCCATTCTAAATATGAATATCTTAATTAAAATGAAGTAAAATTTAAAACTCAGTTCCTCAGTTGCACTATATGGCTCTCTCTACATTTTAAATGCTCAATAATCTTATGAAGCTAATGGCTACTATTTTGCACAGTATAGATCTAGATCATATCCATCATAACAAAAAGTTCTATTAGATAACACTACTCTGGGGTTTGAGTAAGGAATTGCGCTGCCAACCCAAAGGCACACAGTTTGAATCTGCCAGCTGCTCTCTAAGAGAAAGACAGGCAGACTCCTCCTCTGTGCTTAACTGCCTCTGAAAACCTGAAAGGTCATCTGTGAGTTGGTTCCAAGGAATAAAAACAACAACAGTAGAGACGAGAAGTGACGTGCCAGCCTGTGCTGAGGAAAGGGCAGGTCTCTCCATGAGGTGGTGAATGTCCAACATTGGCTTCACGTTGTCTCACAAGCTAGATGGCTTCTCAGCCTTTCAGAGTCTTGTGCTATGTGCATAGTCCATTGTGACCACAGAGCTGGCTGCTAGGCGAGAGACAGAAGGGAATATTTCCTTATAGTCTTGCAAATGCGCTACCAGCCTCTCTTTCTGCATATGGCAAAGAAGATCACCCACCTCACTCTGAGTGGTTTGCTACCTCAACTGTAGTTGATTATTAAGAAAAAAGGTATTGTACACAGCAATCATTAAAGCTGGGGTTCAGGAGATGGTAATTATATCTTTCTCTCTTTAATGTCAGCTTAAACTCTAACGTTTCTTTTTTTAGTTGATATTTTAATGAACATTTATAGAGAACTTAGATTTCCATTCATTCATTGTTTGTTGCACATTTTCCTCCCTGCCCCCCTCCCCCCAGTTCACTTTTCTCTTTGAGAAGAAAAAAAGTTCTTTCATTGTTATACAGCCCCCTGTCCACTTTACTATGTATATTTCTTTTAACCAGCTCTCTCCCTCATCTCTTTCAATGCAGTGTACATTATTTATCCCCTCTTTTCTTAGTTTCCCCCAACCCCGATGTCAGTCCTGTTCTATAACAGTGGCATTACGCAGTATTTGTCCTTTTGTGACTGAAATATTTCACTAAGCATAATATCCTCCAAGGTCACTCATTTTGTATATTTCATTAATTCCTTGTTTTTCAGTGCTGACTAGTCCATTGTGTGAATATACCACAGCTTCTCTATCCATTTATTTGTTGATGGACACTTGGGTTGTTTCCATCCCTTTGCTGTTGTAAACAAAGCAGCAATAAACATGAGTGTGCATATATCTGCTTGGGTGGCAGTTCAGGTTTTTTTAGGGTATATTCCCCGTAGTGGACTTGCTGGGTCAAATGGTATTTCTATTTCCAACTTTTTGAGAAATCACCATACTGCCGTCCATAGTGGTTGCACCATTTTACAATCCCACCAATAATGAATAAGGGTTGCAGTTTCTCCACAACCTCACCAGCATTTGTTTGCTGTTCTGTTGAATTTTGCTCTTGTTACTGGGGTGAAGTGATATCTCATAGTTGTTTTGATTTGCGTCTCTCTTAGAGCTAGAGATTTTAAACATTTCTTCATGTGTTTGTTCACCATCTGAAGATATGTTGTCAACAGGAGAGATGGAAAAGAGACAATGGAAACACTGAGATACTGTTCCCAAATGGTACACAGGACTTTTTCTGAATTTCCATATTGTGTTGTCTTTTTTTTTTTTTTTTTTGGTTAACAAATAATCCTTTATTGAAATATTTTCATCTGTAGTTTCTTAGCTAGCTGGGCATTCCACAGCACCACTGTTGATGTCTTCTATGATGTCATGAGGGTGACAGCCATCAACATTGCAGCCCACAGATTGGGCAGTTCCCAGGATCTCTTTAATAGTTCCAGAGAGTTCTCTGGCTAAAGACCGGTGTCGCATCTGCCGGGCAATGCCAACAATCTCATCAAAAGTGATATTTCCACTGTGCTTAATATTTTTCTGCTTCTTTCTGTCTCTGGGTGGTTCCTTTAGGGCTTTGATGATCAGGGCAAAGGCAGAAGGCACCACTTCAATCTGGGCCTGTCTGTTCTGAATCGTCAGTTTCACTGTAATCCTTAGTCCCTTCCAGTCACCGGTGGCCTTGGCAATGTCATCACCAACCTTTTTTGGAGACAGACCCAGGGGGCCGATCTTGGGGGCCAGAGCGGAAGTGGCACCGACTTCCTCACCGGTACACCTCAGGTACACGACTTTAATCTCGTTGGGGTCGAACTTGGGCGGCATGGCGGAGGCGGCTGGTGTCGGATGAACCCGGATGCGGGACGACTGAAGAAAGTTGCACCGAGGCCTCCTCCAAGCCGAAAGCCCATATTGTCTTTTCATTCTTCTGACTCCTTTTTAATTCCATTTCTTTCTCTGAACACTCAGCCCTCTAAACCCCACCTGTGTAAGAATTAACGCATAGATTTCCCCTCTGTAACCTCCTTTCCAGTTCTTTCTCTGTGATTAAATGCTTTCCTGATGTGGCAAATGTGTTTTTAAAAATATAGCAAGTCTTTGGGCTGGAAAAAGAGAGGCTGGTTCTCATTACTTAGCAGCATTTATGTGTGTGCACAGCCAGCCTTTGGGTCTTTGAAAAGCTGCCCTTTTTTTCATCTGAAAAACTTCACCACTTGGATTTTCTGTTATAATCACTGTTTCCTGGTGGCACAAGGTGTCTGCTACCAGTAACTAACAGCACCCTCCTTAGTGCTTGCTTGTGTAAGGTCTTTGGAGTTAAAGGTTATCTGGAACTGCCAGCAGTTCAAGATTGGATGAGGTATCTTTGTATCAGTGAAGTATGAAAACAAAAAAATTCAAAAAAGTGAAAGAGCTAGTGTTTATTGAATGTTTGCTATGTGCCATCCTCTGTTCTAGGCACCTGATAATTTTTGCCTTTGATTCTCACTGCATTCCAATGGTTAGCATTTTATAGAAGGAAAGTGAGGCTTAAAAAAGTCAAACCAATTGTTGAAAGTGCACTACTTGTGAGAGGTGGAACTTGTGCTTTATACCTGAGTCTTCTTGCTTCTGACACCCTCGCTTTATAGACTTCTAGAAAGCCATGTTTATCGTAAAGGTCCCTTTAGAAAATGATTCTGGGCTCTCTGCTCCTCATCGATCCAGATTGCCCTCCCTTCTTGTGCAGCCTCAGCCGCATCCCTGAGACATGATGGTGAAAGTCGGAGTAGATGGATTTGGCCGCATTGGACGCCTGGTCACCAGGGCTGCTTTTAACTCTAGCAAAGTGAATGTTGTCGCCATCAGTGATCCCTTCATTGACCTCAACTACATGATCTGTATGTTCCAATATGGTTCCACCCATGGCAAGTTCAACAGCACTGTCAAGGCTGAGAATGGGAAGCTGGTCATCAATGGGAAAGTTATCACTATCTTCCAGGAGCGAGATCCCACCAACATCAAGTGGGGTGATGCTGGTGCTGAGTATGTTGTGGAGTCGACTGGTGTCTTCACAACCTTGGAGAAGGCTAGAGCTCACTTGAAGGGTGGTGCCAAACGGGTAATTATCTCTGCTCCTTCTGCCAATGCCCCCATGTTTGTGATGGGCGTGAACCATGAAAAGTATGACAGCTCTCTCAAGATTGTCAGCAATGCCTCCTGCACCACCAACTACTTGGCTTCCCTGGCCAAGGTCATCCATGACAACTTCAGCATTGTAGAGGGACTCATGACCACAGTCCATGCCATCACTGCCACCCAGAAGACTGTGGATGGCCCCTCTGGAAAGCTGTGGCGTGTTGGCCATGGAGTTGCCCAGAACATCATCCCTGCATCTACTAGCACTGCCAAGGCCGTGGGCAAGGTAATCGAACTGAATTGGAAACTTACCAGCATGGCTTTCCATGTCCCCACTCCCAGTGTGTCAGTTGTAGACCTGACCTGCTGTCTGCCAAATATGATGACATCAAGAAAGTAGTAAAGCAGGCATCAGAAGGGCCCCTCAAGGGCATCCTGGGATACACTGAAGACCAGGTTGTCTCCTGTGACTTTAGTAGTGACACTCACTCTTCCACCTTTGATGCTGGGGCTGGCATTGCCCTGAATGACCACTTTGTCAAACTCATTTCCTGGTATGACAGTGAATTTCATTACAGCAACTGAGTGGTCGACCTGATGGTTCACATGGCCTCCAAAGAAGAAGAGCCCCTTGGACCACCAGCCCCAGCAATAGCACTAGAAGAGAGAGAGACCCTTAGCTGCTGGGGAGTCCTAGCCCCAACTCGATCCTCCCACACACTGAGAGAATCTCACATCCTTGACACAGTTTCCATCCAATCCCCCTTTCTCAAGGGGAGGGGCTTCAAGAGCCCATCTTGTCATGTACCATCAATAAAGTACACTACTCAGCCAAAAAAAGAAAATTACTTTTGACATTTTAGACATCCGGGCCTGGGACTCTTGTTCCCAGCCATGTCTCCCTAGAATAACCCATGTTCTCTTATCTCTTCTCTCTAGGTCACCATGGAGTAATAAGTATGACCCTCCACTGGAAGATGGAGCCATGCCATCTGCTCGGCTCAGGAAGCTGGAAGTGGAAGCCAACAATGCCTTTGACCAGTATCGAGACCTGTGAGTTACTTCCTTCTACTCTTTAATTCTCAGTGTTTAGGAGTGAAATCATTAATGAGAGTGACAAGCCAGGTATCTCTCCCAATCCTTCTACTGACTCACCTAATTAGTTGAAATTCTGAGCCAGCATTAGCAGAATGCTGGTCACACGTTTGATAATTGATTTAGTAGTGGGACATCTTAGCAGTAGAGCACTACTACATGAAGGCCCAATTGCATGTTACTCAGCATCATGATTCATAGTAATAGTGAGTACTACTGGGTCCGTCCCTACTGTGTGTGACATGTGGTACCATGTGTTAGGCACAGTGTGTCAGAATCCTCACAAACAGTACCTAGTTCCTATTTTTTAGATGAAGACATTAGGACTTGAAAAGATTACAATGCTTGTCCAAGGCCAGAGGCAAAGTGCAGAATCACACCTATGTCTCCATCACTTAAAGGACCCAGTTTTTCACTGAGCCATGTGCTCCTCAGTTCATTTCTGACCAGGAGCTCAAAGCTCTTTGTCCCAGGCCAAGGCAGTACTATTGAGAGCCTCACTTGGTGGAACCTTGGCAGCCTCTCATTGAGCTAGCAGTTGTTGAATTTCTAGGTGTTGAGGGCCTCAGCCCCTGCCTCCAGCTCCACAAAGTGTGTTTTCTGAGTATGTTTACATTCTCATCTTTTGTTTCTAATCCCATTTCATGTTGCCTTCCACCACCAAAAAAAGAAGAAAAGATAAGCACTTGATCAATTTTGCCAAGTAATGACTCTAGAGAAGTTATTTGCTCCTTTATAGTTTGTGTATGTGTGTATCTGTAAAACAATTGCAGTTTCAGCATTCCTCACATGTATAATCCAGTGACATTAGTTGTGTTCATCATGTTGAACAACCTTCACCATTATCCATTCCCAGATTTTTCCTTCACCCTTGACCAAAACACGTCCTCTTTTGCCCCTTTTTCCTATATCTCTGGTACAAGCTAATGAAGTATTTTTATTTTGATCCAACAGAGTATCAGTTTAAATTATGTTCTTTCCTGAAAATGTAGTAGAACTATAAACTATCCAATGCTAATTCATATGTCTTTACCCATCTAGCAGTGGTCTTTTGTAAAGATCGTTTTAGGCTTTGGAGCCTACATAGGTTGTTTGTTGTTTGTTTGACATCTCATTAAAAATCAGTTTTCACTCTTGGGTCTGGAACTGGCCAGAGTTTGACACAGTCCACTCCTGAGCTAAGCACAGAAATGGAAATAATAAGCAGCTGAAACATTTGTGAAAAAATGTTATTGTTAAACTTATAAAAATTTCAGGTCTCCACTTTGCAAACTGAATGATTTTTTTTTCATAGCCAATTTAATATAATAGATTTAATAAGAAAATTCTCTTTTTCCCTAAGGAAATGGTGAATAAATGACCTCTGTCTATCACAGTGTAATACTTAAAAGTTATTAACAACAATAAAAAAAAACTGTAATCTTTATTTATTTTAAGTACCTATAATGTACCAATATTTTATAAGCCTTTTTTTAAAATAAAAAATTCTGTAGTTAAATACGTATAACCAAGCATGTGCCATTTCAGTCATTTTTACTTGTATTTTATTATATCCACCATGTTGTGCACCAGTCGCTACCAGCTACGTAAATTCTCTTTAATCCTTGCAAGAACCTTTTAGGAAGATAATTTTTTCCTTTTGATTTATTTATATATATATTTCCCCTTTATAGGTAATATTTTAAATATTATCTGAATATTTTACTCACCAGAAGAGCAGGCCTATTTTGTCATCTTCTAAAACTGAGAGATCTTACTTGGCATCATTCCTTTCTTCTCTTAAATGCTGCATTCAGTGTTTTTGCTAATGGACAACATGTTGAGCTTTGAGGAAGTTCAGATTTTTTATAGACTTAAACATTTTGATCATTACTGCCTTAATAAGCTGATTCAAAAATAGTTGTCTCCTACAACCACTTAAGACCATACCCAAGGAAGAATACACTTTGTCTCTGACTTTTCTCTTCCTTCCAGCTCATTTGAAGACACGTAACAACACATGCATAGTCTTTTCGCTTGTTACCATAAGTGTTTCCTCAAAATTATTAACCAGAGTTAAGCCCATTGCCACTGAATCAATTCTGACTCCTAACAACCCTCTAAGACAGAATAGAACTGCCCATAGGTTTTCTAAGCCTGGAATCTTTACAGAAGTAGACTGCTACCTCTTTCCCCCACAGAATGGCTGGTGGATTCGAACTATCAGCCTTTTAGTTAGAAGCTGAATGCTTAACCACAATGATAGCAAGGGTCTCCTAGTATTACCATTAAACACTTCTCTAAACAGTCATTAAATTTGCACAGTAGTAACGTTCTAGAAAGTGAAAGTTCTCTCATTCAACAAACAGATAATGACACTGAGGCTCAGAGTCTTCTTACAGAGATTGGTACAAGTAGAAAACAGCAAGAAGTGGAATTCAAATTCTGTCCAGCCTTTTACTGTGTCTCAGAAAAGTTCAAGCACAGCCCTTTCTACGTTAATATACCTTCTTGAGGAACTTTTAGTGCTAATGACTTACTTCCATATACCTTTAACTTTACCTTTTTTCTGAAGGTGAACTCAACTACAAGGGGATTGAGAGATGGGTGGCACTGTGACTTCCTACAACAGGTCTAAGTGACTGAAGAGCCAACTCCTTAGTGGTTAGTTGAGTGGGACAACTCCGTACCCTGAGAATCATTAAACGTTTGTAATGGTGCCTTCCCATGCCTGGAGAATGCCCTTCGCAGCAGCAGGTAGCTTAAAATAGGAAAGAAAGAGAGGGGAGAACACAGGGTCTCTAGATGGTGTCCGTGGAGAAAGGCAGGGCCAGGAAATCCCTTCATTCTCCTGAGAGTGAGAGGCACCGGAAAGCCAGGTTTTTCACATAGGGCAGAGCCTCAGGAAGCACGGGAGGGATGGTGGTTAGGTGCTGTTGTTTAGGCACTGCAGCTTCCCATTTTGTACCAGTCAGTGTTATCACAATGTACTGTGGAACTCCTCCCTGAGACCATATGTGAGGAACATTTTCCCAGCTGGACCACACATGGTGACCAGCCCATTTCTGATCTAAAAATTATGAAACCAGAACACCATGGTACATTTCTCACCTCAGTAAGTTCTCATTCTCACAGTGCCTTGTAAGGCTGTCAGTAGCCACGTCAGTGACCGAGAAAGACTTACATTAGCTTCCCTGTAGTCTGGGACAGAAGGGAGTCATCCAGGTGCTTAGAGGCTTTTTCTCTACCTTAAACAGGACAGTTAGATATGCCTTCCCCTTTATTCTTCATTTTTATCCAAACCAGATAGATGCGTGCCTGCAGAAAGACTCATTTTATCTCCGGTGACCAAAACTACAGAGATCTTCTGTAGAGCCTCTGACCTGTCAGTATTTGTGTTTACTTCATGCCTATAAATGAGCTCAGGCAAATGTCATTTAGTGACAGGAGGCATTCCACCCAGCACTGTCTTACATGTGCTGGTTTCAGTCACTCCAAGAGCTACTGCATGAGATGCTGGAAGATAATCTGCATCACAGGTGTGAGGCAAGATACCCAAGAGTCCCAAACAAATGTATATACTTTCCAGAAAAAAAAAGCATAATAGAGAAAGTTACCATCTTGAGAGCAGGGCAGACCCATCACCCAGGTGATCATATCTTTAGTTTCTAATGACCCCAAATATTTCTGAATTATTAGATCTTAGTGAATCATGGATTAGGACCATACTTAATTTCTGCTCCTCTTGACTACTCAGATTTGACCTCATTAGAACTCTTATGGCACAATTGTGAAAGTGGGCTTTTTTCCTATTTTATGGACAGGGGATGGAAAGGTTTCTCAGTTTATATTGGGAAGACCACATTAAACTGTTCACGCTATTACCCACCTTTCTATTACCTTCTGAAGTGTTAGAGATTGAATGAGAAAAGAGGCTTCTGGTGGAATCAGTAATAGAATTCTTGCCTCCTATTCAGGAAATGTGGGTTTGCGTCCTGGGTGGTGCACCCCTTATGCATCTGCTATTTGCCAGTGGAGGCTTCTGTGTGGCTTTGAGGCTAAACCAGTTTGAGTTTGAGCAAAGCTTCAAGACAGGAAGGAGGAAGAAAATCTGATAATCTATTTCCAAAACTCAGCCAGTGAAAGCTCTGTAGTTAGTCATGAGGAGGGGACAGGATGGGGTAGTGTTTTGCTCTGTAATTTTTGCAGTTCCTGTGAGTCTTTGGCCAACTCAGAGACATCTAGTAACAACCACCATGCCCATTATACCTACCTTACCTCTCAATTGGCTCATGCGAAAAGATTGTGGGGATGAATCTTCCAAATAGAAAAACACAACCTTTATACCCGCTACAGTTCATGTAATGAGCAGAGCTGCTTGGTTCTCTCCATTCACTTGTTACAGGCCCAAACCCTCCTAATGTTCTTGGGTTAATTACCTGAAAGACACTGGTGAAAGATACATTCACATGTATGTGCACACTTAGAACTAAAACATAATCTGTGCAAGGCATCTTAATGTAAGATCCATTCCTTTCTAGAGAAGTAGTTCTTGCATGCAATAGAGTCTCCTCTCTGCATCTATAAGAGATAAAATTATCTTCATTAGCATCTTGAAGCAAAGACTTTGATTCTGTCCTCAGGCTCTGGGCTTTGAGCCTGGGTCTGTAAAGGCTTTGACTTTGCTGGGAATTAGAATGAATCATTTGCAAGTGGATTTGGTGTAGTCAGAGTGCTGAAACTGGGATCAGAAGAAGGGCTCACCAGCAGGCCTTTCTGGGTTGCAACTCCATAGTAAGTGTAGCAATGTGACATCCTCATCACCTGTCTTATGCATGGCTTCTCTCATTTATATATTGAGAGTGTGGCTCTGTCCCCAAGGTAGACAAAAGGTGACTAGAAGTCTGGAGGGATGAGTTGTATTTTGTAGGGTTCTGGTTCTCTTTAAGGTCCTTTTCTTTGCTTACCTTTTGTACTGC